ACTCTAACTATGTCCATGTTTATGATTTAGCAGACGCTTTTATCCAAAGTGATTTACAAGGTAGACACAATTTTACAGTTTTCTTCAATATAACAATCACTTCTCTAGAGGAAAAATCTTTAGGCAGAATCAGTGGGGACAGCAAAGAGAGAGAGAGAGAAATGCAGAAAGAGTAGTAGAGAGGTACAGAAGTAAGGGTAAGAGATGCTCTTTGAAGATGTTGGTCTTTAAGAGTTTCCAAAAGATAGAACCAGGGCGCTGCTGTTCTTTTAGCACTTGGTAGGTCATCCCACCTTCCTGGCACAACCCATGAAAACAGTCTGGATTGTCTGAAGCAGGGTGTAGACACTGCTAGACGGCAATCCATTGATGACTAGAGCGACCGAGTTGTGACATAAGCCTTTGCAAGAGGGTTCGAGTAGAAGGGAGCCGTACCCTTAAACACTTTGTATGCTAACATCAGGGACTTGAACAGGATGCGGGCAGCCAAGGGTAACCAGAGAAGCTCAATGAACAGTAGGGTGACTTGAGACTTGCTGATTAGACTACTGCAGAGTCTTGTCCAGAGGAGGGCGCTCTTCTGTCTTGGGCCATGCGTCTATTATAAAGATCAGAGCATTCCTCCCTGCATTGAACTGCAGACACTACTCCACTCATGCAGTTCAATGCAGAAGAGCGCCCTCCTCAGGACAAGACTCTGCAGTACATCTACACCAGGGGTGTCCAAACTTTTTTTAATGAGGGCCAAATACAGAAAAATAAAAAAGAGGCATGGCCACACAACCCAGAGGTGGCATATTAACACATGAATACTGTGTTTATTTCTAACTCGCCTATAATGTGAAAAACATTGCACTCAGTGGGAGCAGTGATGCTGTCCTTTGGATTGAAGGATGGTGGACATGTCAGGAGAAAGTTTGGTGGTTGAGACACGAAGGACTGCACAGAGATGGCTATCGGTCATTCTGGTTCGCAGTCTGCTTTAGTTCTGATTTAACAGTGAAACTTGGCATTATCCAAATCTGATAGAATTCAGGGAGGGAGAGAAGCTGATGTTGCCTCTTCAGAGAATCATCACATTGCATTTCAATCAGCTCTAACAGCAGACTCTCTTCCACTTCTTCTGCATCCACCAGGAAGGGGGCGAGAACAGCTTGATTTGTTTTTCAATGACAGAAAAATCTTGGAAACATTGGTTGAATTCTGTCAGGAGAGATGTAATCACACACACATATGTTTCCTTTTTAGCAGAAAGGTCGGCCTTTGGAAAAGCAGACTTGATTTCAGACAGCGCAGGGAAGTGCGCAGCATTAAAGCCTCGTAGTTGCGTCTCAAAAAGGCGGAGCTTTACGCAAAAGGCTTTCATGTGCACAAACAGGTGTGGCACCAGCTGTTCTTTGCCTTGAAGGTTCTTGTTTAGTGTATTCAGCTGATGCATGAGATTAACTAAAAATGCCAGGTCTGCCAGCCACAGAGGGTCACTTAGTTCATGAAGAGGTCTGCCCTTCTCTTTTAAAAACTGATCGATTTCTGATCTCAGCGAATAAAACCGCTGCAGCACCGAGCCGTGGCTGAGCCAGCGCACATCAGAGTGGTAGAGTACATCCCCATATTCCGCATCCAAGTCAGACAGGAAAGCCTGAAATTCTCTGTGGTGCAGTCCTCTAGCTCGAATTATGTTGACAGTTTTTATAACAGTGTTCATAACATCGCCAAGCTGGACAGTCTTGGCACACAGTGCTTCTTGGTGGATTATACAGTGCATCTTAACAGCCTCACCTCCGCTCTCCTTTACCTTGGCGCACTCCAACGATGCCATTCCTTTGCGCTCGCCCATCATGGCCGAAGCTCCATCCGTTGTTACTTCACAGAGCTTTTCCCATTTAAGCCCCATCTTTTCAACTGCTTCTGACACAGCTTCAAAAATATATTTCCCCGTTGTTGTGCCTTTTAGGCTCATCATATCAAGTAGCTCCTCCGTACAGCAAAAATGATCAAAAAATGAACAGCTGTGAGGTGTCTGTGGCATCTGTGCTCTCATCACATGCTATTGAGTAAAAATCAAAAGCACAAGCTTTGTCTCTCAGCTGAAGTTTTCTCCACACCACTGTATTTCAGGACAAGCTCACATTGTTGCAATCAGACACTTTTTCTGGGCACATTATTTCTGTGACTTTGATGAGGCACTGCTTTATGAAATCACCGTCTGAAAACGGTTTGCCGTGCTGGGCAATAAGTTTAGCGACTTCATAACTTGCTGTTGTGGTGTTTTCCTGAATTTTGTTAGCACGGAAAAAAGCTGTTGTTAAGCTTGCAGGCTAGCTGCCATTTGCTTGACTTTCTGTGTTCGTTCGGCGTTTGGTCTCATAGTGCCGACGGACATTATAGTCTTTCATCACAGCAACATCTTCATTGCAAATCAAACAGACACACTTTCCATTCATTTCTTTGAAAAAATACTCATTTTCCCACTGTACTTGAAATCTCCTACACTCACTTGCTATTTTGCATTTCTTCCGCGCTGCCATTGCTGCTGACTGGAGGTAACAGTTCTTCTTTGCTTAATTTCGTTTGTGTGGCTGGCTCCATCTAGTGTTGAAACTGAGAAGTGCAAGAGAGTTGAGCTCAAGCTCTTGTGCGGGCCATATTCAATTGTAATTTCAAAATTTGCTGCGGGCCAATAAAAACTGGACCGCGGGCCGCAGTTGGTTCGTGGGACGTAGTTTGGACACGCCTGGTTTAGCCAGTCGGGTTTAAGATATAGAAACCGTTGAGCAACGTTTCTTAAACCTCAACGGGAACACTACGCAGAAAGCAAAACTTTCATCGTGAACTACCACAACGCATTTATTTCCATAAAAATGAGGGAAATGATCCCTCTTCAAGTTGGCCAATCCCTGGGGAAAAAAAATCACAAATATTATTACAAATATTTGGGATTTTTGTCGGAGGCAGGGTGTGGGGGGTGTATCTCTATATAACTATACTGTAAAAATATCCACAGCTGTATATTGATTATCAATTCTTCAGGTGCACAGTATTTATATTAAAAAAAAACCTGTACAGTAGTTTTTTATTTGTTTATTTTTTTATATGTATTTATTTATATTTTATGTGAAAGTCATTTTTACCCTTTTAACAGTTTTAGCTTTTTTGTTTTTTATTCATATATTTTTTTTAATGTTTTACTTATTTATTTTTTTTCTGTACAGCACTTTGGTCAGCTGTGGTTGTATTTAAATTATTTACTAAATAAAATTAGATTGGAATTTTTGTTTGATTCTGTAATTTATTATATTATTTTTATACAAATTTTAAGGTCCACATTTGTGTGACCACTTTTACTGTAATCCTTTGCTGCTGTAACAGCGCAATTTACTCACTGTGGAAAGACAAAGTGAATTTCTATTCTATGTAGGCTGTTTATTCAGTAATGTCTTCCAAAGCTCTGATACCTTCATGAAGTTATCCCTCCAGCCCTGATGTCAACAATCTGTTGATTTTAACAACAATATGCTGCAGTGCTGAGGAATCCCTCTTCTGCTCGGCTTACAGCAGCAGCTTAGGTTAGCAGGTTGACCTCCCCAAGATGGCGCTCCTAATCCCTGTGAAGCAACAGTCACTCTAATATTCTAATCTAATCTAATATTATGTCTACTAGCCAAACCACTCAATTAGGCATCTACATATTCATGACATATAGGATTGTATATATGCCTAGACCCAGAGGGGGATTTATCATTAGGCAATACTAGTCAGTTGCCAAACTTAATACAACTAATCCTTATTTGAGCTCATTAATTATGTTTTTGATAAAACTCCTTTGGCTAAAATGCAATCAAAATGCTGATAATATTAAATGTTCTGATTTAGCTTCCCAGTGTCCACCATATTGGATCAGTCCATTTGCTCCACATGTTCAGAAAGGTCCAAACAGACAGCAGCAAACCATTTGAAAACAAACGATGCAAAGAGCAGTGTTGCCAACTTTGCGCTTTTGTTGCTTTATTTAGCAACTTTTCAGACCCCTCTAGCACTTTGATTTCAAAAAAGCGCCTAGCGCCAAATAACATAAAATAAATAGCGACTTTTTTCTGCTACTGGAGACTTTGGCGCCAACATCTAAAAGCAGCGAACTCTGCTCTCCAGAGCCAGTAGATTGGTAACCCCGCCTCCTGCTCTCCTCTATCTTGTCTGCTGTCATGATTCATGCAGCTATTATTTCATCCAAATGAAAAATGGAGAACAGATAAGCAGATCATGGCTTGTCTACAGTGAAAAGAAGGACTGGGTTATTTACTTTTGCAGACATCCCAAGTTCCAAAAACTAATTTCAGGGAGATGCTTATAGAAAAAATCTTTCATTACTTTTGAGACAGCATGAAAAGTCATCTGAGTACAAAACATAGAGAGGAAAAACGAAGAAAAGGGACAAGAAAAGAGGGACAAAACCTAGAACAGATAATTGATGTCTATTCTATTAACATTTCTCTATCTGTATTAAGGGGACTGTTTATGTGTTGTCTTCTCAATTCAGAGGGCCCCCTGTCTGTCTTTGCCTAGGGCCCCAGATTTCCTGAATCTGCCCCTGGATCTATGTACTCAGGATCCATTCTAACCTAGAGCTAAATATAAATATTATTTTCTCTGAGTAAAACAGTAAATGCAAAAAGTTGGAACTGTTTCTAATCCATCAGTAGTAATGAAAGCGAAATGCCCAGATTATGCGCTCGCAAGTTTTAGGCTTAATTTTCTGTTTTTTATCTTAATTTCGTTTATTAAAGTGTTTCTTTTTTTACTTTATTCTATGATTTTGTGATTTTTTTTGTTTGTTTTTCTGTTTCAGTGTAAATATATGCATTATACTGGTGAATTATGAAACCTTTTGGAAGAGAAATATAAAACTGATTTAGAAACATGAGGGGGAGGGGGGAATAAGGCAGGGGATTGTGAATTTATAACCGCACTAACACCATCTGTCACTGTTCGCACCAGGAGCTGCATGCGGGGCAGTGCGGGGTTTGTCAGGCAGCAGAAAGCTGGAGGCAGAGAGCGGATTTCAAGAAGGGAAAGGCTTCCTGGTGGAGGAGAAGGACCTGAGAAGGGAGCGACACGGTGTTGCGTGACACATGGCTGCCTGCTGGCTGTGACTGCGGCTCCACGCGGACAGGGAGAGGCTCTGCGGTGGGAGGCAGACAGCAGGGATCTGGTCTCCCAGCATTAGGTAAGCTCCACCTGTCTGTACCTGTACAGTGGTAACAGCAATAATTCCTGCAATCTCACTTTTTCCTCTTTTCTCTCACAGCTAGGGTGAAAAACATTCAATCATCCTTAATTTTTGTATTGGAAATGGGATAGATATAAAGCTCTACTGAACCATTATTACATCCAAGGTGACACAGAAATAATCAAAGGATATAATCTCCCTTTTTAGACACTATAGGCTTTAAAGTTAATTTTCCCTTAAAGGAGAATTCCGGTCATATTCAAAATTCTGAAATTATTCCACACTGTTAAATAAATGATTAGCGTTTTAATTAAGAGTAATTTTCATGTGAATGTGCTTTACTGGAGGCATCCATGTTTGTCAAAGAACACTACTGCCACCTACTGGTTTGTGACGTCACGGTGCGGTATCGGCTGTTGATCAAGTCCCAGTGCTGTATCTGGTGTTTGCCACAACAAGTATTATCCAAGTCATCTTGAAAACATTCTTCTTCCAAATGTTGGCTACATATTACGGGTTTTTTCTCTGGCCTGAAGTTCGATGGCAAATCCTCCCTCTATCCAACGACCAACCCGTCCGTGGAGGATCAGGAATCAGAAAGGTGGAATAACTCTTTATTCACTTTTACCCGATGTATTCCAGCATCCAGCTGCCATGCACGTGGGCATTGTCAGTTTCACTATAGCTCTGGTGAATTTCAATGGTGAAGTCCTCTGGAAATCTTCAATAATTGTTGATTGAGGATGTGTCTAGTAGTTCCCATTGATTTTGCTTGTAAAGCGGGGAGAATGGCGTTAGGCTTACCGCACCGTGACGTCACTGCTGGAAGATGGCAGGAGGGAGGGGTTACTATATTTGGGCAAAAATGGCCGCTTCCAGACTCGGTGATCGCAACAATCACTGAGTTTGCTTTTTTTTTTTTTCTTTTTTACTGATTACTGATTTTGTGATATCATTTCAAAATTAAAAACAAACCAAAATGAGAACAGGAGAGTCCTGATTCTCCTCACACTTTCATTATAGAATAATTCATCTCAAGGCACTTTACATAGACAATTCAACCAGATCATACAGTCAAATTGATTCAGAGTTTTCTAAGGAAAACCAGTTGATTGCATCACCTCACTGACTCTTCAGCAATCCCTCACACCAAGTATGCTTGTAGCGACAGTGGAGAGGAAAAACTCAGCCAGGCAGACAAGAGAGCACATCCAGCCAGTCGCCGTCAGAGAAACAGGACTAGACTGAAAAGCAGGACGATCTCCAGCATCTATAAACAAAGGTGTTGATGGCAGCAGCACAGCTGATATTTCTCTCCAGGATGGAGTCACAGCCAAACAGGAACAGACCAGATGAAGCTACTATGAGAAAAAGCAGAGAGAGCATAAATTGAATAGAAATTGAACTAACAGATCCTGCAAGGTGGGAAAATAGAGATAGAATGATGAAATGGAGATCCCCATGTCCTCCAGCAGTCTAAGCCTATAGCAGCATAACTATAGAGATAGCTCAGGATAACCAGAGCCACTCTAACTATAAGCTTTATTGAAAAGAAAAGTTGAGCCTATCCTTAAAATTAGATCAAAGTAATCAAGTAAATGTACTTGCTACTTTCCACCATTACCCTAATCACATCGAGGAACATCAGTTATGTCTGCGGGGCAGGATGCAAATCCTATATTATTGTGTGGGATCTAGTTTACTGCAGGCCTGCTACAGGCTGATGACCGAACTGATAAAGCAGCTAAAATCTGCATGTTGTTGTTACATCGTAAAAAGCAAAATGGCAAAAAGTGAGGACAATGTGATTAAAAGCATTTCAAACCTACCACTGTACTTGGAAGTTATTCTTTTATCCCCTAAATGGATCAAAAACAAAAATACAGATAATAACTATCAAAGGTTTTAATAATCCTGACTTTATACTGTTTTTGCCTGGTCTTTTAGTTTTTGGCAAAGCAACACAGATACTGTATTGGAGTTTTAGGGCCAGGCTAGAGATTTTTTTATTTTCATTTTGAGAATAAGACGTAATATTACAAGAATAAAGTCGCAACATAACAAGGATTAAATCATTCTATTATGATAATAAAGTTGTAATATTACGAGAATTGAGTCATAATATTATGACAATAAAGTCGTTACTGGCACACGAAAACATGACCACATATCACCTGTTCTAGCCTCATTGCACTGGCTCCAGGTTGTTTTTAGGATAGATTTTAAAATGTTATCGTTTTTAAAGTTCTTAATGGTCTAGCCCCCCAGTATTTGACTGAGCTTCTCCAAATCCATGCCCCGGCCAGAACACGGAGATCCTCTAATCAGCTGCTACTGGTGATGCCTAAAACCAGACTTAAAACCAAAGGTGATCGTGCCTTTATGGCACAGAGGCTCTGGAATAACTTGCCTTGGCATGTTAGATCAGCAGGCTCCTTTGAGGGTTTTAAATCCTCTTTAAAATCACATTTCTTCTCCCTGACATGTCTAAGTGGACATTTGGCAAAATTTTATTTTATTCTAAAATGTATTTTAATTGAAACATTTATCCTATTCTATTTTTATGTGTTTATGTATTTTAGCCTTCAGCTTTTATCTTATGTTCCTTAACTGTGATTCCTGTACAGCACTTTGGTCAACCCCCGTTGTTTTAAAGGTGCTCTATAAATAAAGTTTGAGTTAAGTTCAGTAATATTATGAGAAGCTGGTGTGCTAAAAGATTTCCTTATTTATCTAACCGATGCCAAAGTCTAACTTCACCTGATGCTCCACATTTCTCCTTTAAGGGAAGAGCGTGCTTCCTGTAAGAGTTGTCATAAAATAAAACTTTATTCCTATAATGTTACGACTTTATTGTCGTAAGTTTACGACTTTATTCTCGTAATATTATGATTTTGTTCTCGGAAAACATTACAGCTGATGTAGATACAAAAATACAAAAAGATTTTATTTTTGGAAAATCAACAGTTTGGGGTGATCCATTTAACTTTTTAATGATTTGTAAAATAAATTAGCTGATAATAATTCGTACCACCCTTCTACCAACAGCGCTGCCGAGGATTAGTGGCCCTGCCGAGCCGCCGTAGCGATGGGAGAGAACGTGTCCAAGCGGCTAAAGTTGATATCGGCTACGGAAGCAGAGATGGAGGAGCGCTCCTTCCATAACCAGTTTGCTGACTGGGAGGCTGGACTGGCTGCCTGCAGCACTGCAGCTCAGCTGGATCATAACGACCCGTTTGACGCGGAAGGAAACGTGAGGAAGCGCTTTGTGCTGTTCTTTTTACGGGCTAAATATAGCTAGAGTTAGCTTAGCTTTGCCACCGCTGATCTTTGTTTATTTACTGCCTGAAAAAGTGAAGCCACCGGCCGCCATATTGGTACTCCCCGCTCCTATGGAGACACGCAGTGAAAATGCAGCATTTGGCTGCAAAAACCAGCAGTTTTCAGGCTGTAGGAAGATAATCCACAGGTGATTTCACAGTCAATGGATGAAATAACCAATAAATTCATCTATACACTCATTAGATATATAGATGTCTGTTAATGCTACAGTATTTTCCATTTGCATATTGTGCATGCATAACATATATTGTGTGTGACATGCATGCATAATATGCAAATAGGAAAATACTATAGCATTAACAGATATATACTTGTAATTCTGTCTTTATGTCAGATCTTGCAATTATATGTAAGATATAATTACCGTAACAATGTCATCAATACATGTCTATTACATGTACATCATTAATTTAGCACTTTTGGTTAATCTGTATTATTCTGCTCCATTAACACATTCATTTTATTGTGACGGATCTAAATAATATGTTATATTACATGTTTTATAGACTTCATTGACTTCATAATGACTATGTAATGGATGTGCCTTTATTTTATTATAAGTCACAGTTAATCTGCTGATGCTATGGAACAGCCAGTCTGTGTCAAAGTGATGAATTTATCTTTATTTTAAAAGTCTCAAGTCCCCCTGAAAATTAGATCATCATCGTTGTTCGATGCTGCAGCGCACTGATTGTTTACATTGCCACCGGTCTGACTAGTGAGTACCAATATGGCCGCCGGTGGCGTCACCTCAACCCTGTACTACCAACAGGCCATCAGCGATACAGGGAATAAACAGAGATCAGTGTTTGCCACCCTGCTGCGGTTTGTTTGGATGATGTTTTTACTTCACACTCAGAATATTGTGCCGTGTTAATATCCAGGCGCACGTTTATTTGTTTTAAACACTTTTTCCCTTTTACACCCTTGGATTAAATGAACAACCTTATTTAGTAGATCTTTTGTGCTGTTTTAACTTTTTACACAATATTTAGGAGAAGAAGCTGAAGTTAACTTCTGATTTGGGAAAGCAGTAAAAGGCGATTCCACTTAATATTTTCCTCCCTTCAGCATCTTTAATCTACTCTAACTCAAAAACTGGACGGTTCATTCCTACACAGAGAACAGAGCAAATACAAAGCAATAAAAGCACAAATGCATCGACACTCTGGTCCATGATAAACATTGAATTGAAACTGTACATTTTGAATCCCTGTTATCAGCAGGATTTGTCTTTTCATCTTTAGGTTAATGCAGCTTTTCAAAAGAAGGTGCAGAGTAAGATCAAAGATCTCCTCCAGCAGATGGAGGAGGGCCTGAAGACTGCCAACCCCCATGACTTCTCCACATATACCGGCTGGACAGGTCTGTTACGCTTTTTGTTGGTTTTGTTTTTGTCCAACGTATCATTTCCAGCCATGTTTGACCTCTGACCCATCATGGTTCAGGTTTAGTTGGCACCATCTAGAAATGCTTCAGTAGTGTTGGTGAGTCCCAGTTCAGTGGATATCCATAATAAAAAAAAAAAAAACTGTTTGAAAAAGAGTTTTGGAAGGTGTTTAGACAAACATATAAACAACATAAAGCCTTTAATTAGAAACACCATCAATTTACCTTTCACTACGATTTCAACGAAAAAAACTAAATAAAAATTTATCTAAAATAAATAAAAAAAAAACAAAATAACTTTACTTTCTTTTGTAAATCACATTACACCAAATGTTCCTCAATAGATCATAATACTCAGAGCAATCCTTAAAAATACTGAATAATAATATTATATAAATAAATATATATTTGTAAAATATAATCTTATAAGAATATAAAACTTTGTGTTTATCATATTAATATTTATTTGCAAAATATATAACTTTTCATACATCTCATCCAGTTTGAGTTCAGTTTAAATAGTTTTTAATCTCAATAAATATGTGAAATCTAACTGAAAGGTAATTTTAACGTTTGTTTTAGAGTTTGAAGGTGTTATGACATATCAGAGATTACTGTAATATTATTATTGTCATTAAAATCAGATCTCAGCCGCCTCCTATTCATTCTCACAGCAGCTGTCTGAGCTGTGGTCTGATCCAAGATGGCCGCCCTCTAGGCACCTCAGCCAGCGTCCAATGTGGCGTTCTACAGATATATTGTCTATGCATGACTGTTAAAAATGATCCAAGGGGAACTTCTGAAGAGGTTCTTAGAAACGTTTATGATTTGTTTGATTCTTACAGGAGAATTAAAGAGTTTGGAAGATTGTTTTTGAGGGATTTTTTTAAATTGTGTTTTGAGTCCTGAGGCTTATTCTAAGAGGTGTAAACCATCAAGTGAAAACTTTAAAGGTCAAATGAAATCAAATGTGCAAATTAAATATAATTAAATATAATTTAAAGAAAAATACTTTGATAGCACTGAAAAAAACATCTAGAAATAAGTAAACACTTCTTAAATTAAGTGTATTTACCATTAATTTGAGTAGGTAAATAAGATGATGAGTGTTTTTACTCTGAAAATAATATAATTAGATAACATACACATGAAATAAGACAATGCAATTGTTTTATATGTTTTAAAGTGACATTTTCTTGTTTCATTGGCAAAGTGTCTCGCTTATCATCGCAATTCAAGACAAAATGCACTTATTTTAAGAAAAAAATTACTTATTTAGATTAGATTAGATTTTTTCCATTGTGAAAAGCATCTTCTGAAAAGTAACCCTCTGTTCAGCTTGCTTCACTATTTTGGAAGAAAATAATGGATTTAGTGTCAAATGTGCAAACAGTCTAATCTCTGAAGTGTTTAGCCAATAATTGACATTTATTGGCCCTTATTTTAGTCGCCCTGTTCTTGATCAGCTCTTCTTAAAGCGGTTTATAATGTGTCTGAAGGAATTATTCCCTTTTATCTGCAGGCATTGCCTTGCTGTACCTTCAGCTGTATCGTGTCTCCGCCGAGGCCTCCCACCTGCAGAGGGCGCTGGACTATGTGAAGAGGGCCATGAGGATCCTGAACGGCCGCAAAGTGACTTTCCTTTGTGGCGACGCAGGGCCCCTGGCCGTTGGCGCCGTGGTCCACCACAAACTGAACAACATCGAGGAGAGGAAAGAGTGTGTGTCGCGGTGAGTGGAACCCGAATATTAGCCAGAAATAAACCGAGTGTTTCCAGGTGTCTGCACACTCAGCATGTCTCTAGTCCACTAATCAACCAACCAGTCTGGTTTTTGACAGCCATCTTAGATCAAGTCTTTTGTCACATTCTAGTTATTACGATATCTGATAGTTTTAGTTGATTTTAGTCGACTTAAACTCAAAAAAGTTTTTGTTAGTTTTATGTAGCAAAAAGAAGTTAACCTTTGCAGTTTGGAATAACAACCAGATCCTTTACCAGACTGACAGCTCTAGCCTAGATGCTACAATAGCTGGATATAGAACGCTGCCATGCAGTTCAGCATTGCTGTTGGGAAGAAAAAACTTTGATTTCTAGATTTCAAATAAACTTTTTTATGAATGAATTCCCTACTTTATAAAAAAGTGTCTCACAAAAGTTGTTAAAATAGCAGATCTGGTTCAACACATCGTATTGTTTAAAGGAAAAGTCCGGTCATATTTACAATTCAAACTTCTAAAGGTACTTTAAATATGAAATTATTACATACTGTTCAATAAATGATCAGTGTTTTTAGTTTAGAGTAATTTTCATTAGAATGTGCTTTACTGGAGGCATCCATGTTTGTCAAAGAACACTACTGCCACCTACTGGTTAGTGACGTCACGGTGCGGTATCGGCTGTTGATCAAGTCCCAGTGCTGCATCTGGTGTTTGTCACAACGCGCTATTATCCAAGTCAACTTGAAAACATTCTTCTTCCAAATGTTGGCTACATATTACGTGTTTTTTCTCTGGCCAGAAGTTCGAAGGCAAATCCTCCCTCTTCAAGTTGGCGATCCAACGACCAACCCGTCCGTGGAGGATCAGGAATCAGAAAGGTGGAATAACTCTTTTTTTCCACTTTTACCCAATGTATTCCAACATCCAGCTGCCATGCACGTGGGCATTGTAAGTTTCACTATAGCTCTGGTGAATTTCAATGGTGAAGTCCTCTGGAAATCTTCAATAATTGTTGTTGATTGCAGATGTGTCTAGTAGTTCCCATTGATTTTGATTGTAAAGCGGGCAGAATGGCGCTAAGCTTACCGCACCGTGACGTCACTGCTGGAAGATGGCAGGAGGGAGGGGTTACTATATTTGCTCCCAGACTCGGTGGTCACAATGAAAATTATTCAACTAAATTCATTAAATCGCTGCATATTAGTTTTAGCTATAAATAATGATCCGTTGGTTATTCCTTGCTGACCGGACCTTTCTTTTAAATAAAAAAACAACTGCAGTTTCTTATTCCAAGTGGGTAGTATTAAATGGTCTTATTTAAAAGGTAAACGTACTAATTCCATCATGGTATTTACCTACGGGTTGGGGGTAAATTCCCTTTAAGGCATTTTTTACTCCTTGTTGGATCGTTTTTTCTGTGGGAGGAGTGTCTCTGTGTTAACTTTACTCTGCTCCTAAATGATTCCTCCGGCTCTTTGGGTCTCCTTCAGCCTCCTTCAGCTGCAGCACTCAGTCCTGACTCCAGATGCTGAGATGCCAGACGAACTGCTGTACGGTCGAGCTGGATACCTTTATGCTCTGCTCTATGTCAACAAAGAAGTTGGAGCTGACACAGTGGATAATGACACAATTACAAAGGTAAGCCCTGCGTGTCGTAAACATGACCAAGAGCTTAACATCAGCTGCTGAACTCTATGTTTGATCACTGTCATGCATGAGTTGAAGAGCAGGACTGATGGGATGATTACAGAGGTGTGGACCATCAGCAGAGTCCCCTTCACTAACTGTCAACATCAGTCTGTACATTTCTCCAGACTTTAAAGGCAGTTTTCCAAAAAGCTGTTGATTATGTTAACGTCAAAATGGCCAAAATAAGGCAGAGCAACTGCCAGGCCCATACAGTGAATACAAATAAATGTAAATTAGATGGAACTGAATCATTGGGCGTTTCTCGATCGGTGTGTTCTCATGTCCTTGTGAAATGTAATCAGCCTCAGCCCTAGCACTGTTCCAATTCACAAGAACATAAGACAAAGAACAAACAAAGTCTACCATTAGCCCGTCTGCAGCAGCCAGGGCTACCGTTAGCATGTCTGCAGCAGCCAGGGCTGAGATTAGCCCGTCTGCAGCAGCCAGGGCTAAGGTTAGCCCGTCTGCAGCAGCCAGGGCTGAGGTCAGCCCGTCTGCAGCAGCCAGGGCTAAGGTTAGCCCGTCTGCAGCAGCCAGGGCTGAGGTTAGCCCGTCTGCAGCAGCCAGGGCTACCGTTAGCCCGTCTGCAGCAGCCAGGTCTGAGGTTAGCCCGTCTGCAGCAGCCAGGGCTATCGTTAGCCCGTCTGCAGAAGCCAGGGCTGAGGTTAGCCCGCCTGCAGCAGCCAGGGCTGAGGTTAGCCCGTCTGCAGCAGCCAGGGCTAAGGTTAGCCCGTCTGCAGCAGCCGGGGCTACCGTTAGCATGTCTGCAGCAGCCAGGGCTGAGGTTAGCCCGTCTGCAGCAGCCAGGGCTAAGGTTAGCCCGTCTGCAGCAGCCAGGGCTAAGGTTAGCCCGTCTGCAGCAGCCAGGGCTACCGTTAGCCCGTCTGCAGCAGCCAGGGCTAAGGTTAGCCCGTCTGCAGCAGCCAGGGCTACCGTTAGCCCGTCTGCAGCAGCCAGGGCTACCGTTAGCACGTCTGCAGCAGCCAGGGCTACCGTTAGACCGTCTGCAGCAGCCAGGGCTACCGTTAGCACGTCTGCAGCAGCCAGGGCTACCGTTAGCACGTCTGCAGCAGCCAAGGCTAAGGTTAGCCCGTCTGCAGCAGCCAGGGCTACTGTTAGCACGTCTGCAGCAGCCAAAGCTAAGGTTAGCCCGTCTGCAGCAGCCAGGGCTACTGTTAGCCCGTCTGCAGCAGCCAGGGCTACCGTTAGCACGTCTGCAGCAGCCAGGGCTACCGTTAGCCCGTCTGCAGCAGCAAGGGCTAAGGTTAGCCCATCTGCAGCAGCCAGGGCTACCGTTAGCACGTCTGCAGCAGCCAGGGCTACCGTTAGCACGTCTGCAGCAGCCAAAACTAAGGTTAGCACGTCTGCAGCAGCCAGGGCTACCGTTAGACCGTCTGCAGCAGCCAGGGCTACCGTTAGCACGTCTGCAGCAGCCAAAGCTAAGGTTAGGCCTTCTACAGCAGCCAAGGCTAAGGTTAGCCCGTCTGCAGCAGCCAGGGCTACCGTTAGCACGTCTGCAGCAGCCAAAGCTAAGGTTAGCCCGTCTGCAGCAGCCAGGGCTACCGTTAGCCCGTCTGCAGCAGCCAGGGCTACCGTTAGCACGTCTGCAGCAGCCAGGGCTACCGTTAGCCCGTCTGCAGCAGCAAGGGCTAAGGTTAGCCCATCTGCAGCAGCCAGGGCTACCGTTAGCACGTCTGCAGCAGCCAGGGCTACCGTTAGCACGTCTGCAGCAGCCAAAACTAAGGTTAGCACGTCTGCAGCAGCCAGGGCTACCGTTAGACCGTCTGCAGCAGCCAGGGCTACCGTTAGCACGTCTGCAGCAGCCAAAGCTAAGGTTAGGCCTTCTACAGCAGCCAAAGCTAAGGTTAGCCCATCTGCAGCAGCCAGGGCTACCGTTAGCACGTCTGCAGCAGCCAGGGCTGAGGTTAGCCCGTCTGCAGCAGCCAGGGCTGAGGTTAGCCCGTCTGCAGCAGCTAGGGCTACCGTTAGCACGTCTGCAGCAGCCAGGGCTACCGTTAGCACGTTTGCAGCAGCCAAGGCTAAGGTTAGCCCGTCTGCAGCAGCCAGGGCTACCGTTAGCACGTCTGCAGCAGCCAGGGCTACCGTTAGCACGTCTGCAGCAGCCAGGGCTGAGGTTAGCCCGTCTGCAGCAGCCAGGGCTAAGGTTAGAAAAAAGTAACAATAAATTATCAAGAGACTATTGATAACAGGAGTTGAAACGCAGCTCCAGACTAGCGTTGAATGTGGTGATGTTGACCCATATTTATGTTGCGTTCTCCCCGAGTCCAGACTTTCCTTTGTTCTTCTCAAGAACAGACTTGGCGAGAACACGAGTCCGTACTCATACATTACTCTTTTGTTTCCTTTTATTTCATAATTTGTGCTTTTCATTATGGAACAATTTGACTTATAAAATGTCGTTGTTCCAAAAATATACATGAACATACTGTCAGGTCTGTGTGCAGACTCTAAATGTGGAGCAGCTCTGATGCGTTTTTCCTCTTGTTCTGACTGAGACATTGATGTTTCGGGGGATTAATCCCTCTGGTTTTTGGATTATCTGGAGCCAGGAGGATTTTTGCTGATACTCTTAACTCGGTTGTTTATTTGTTTTTAACAACCTAGAGAATATCAATGCAGAGCACCAGAAAACGGGGGAAGGGCACGGCTAAAAAAGACTAGAGACCTGGATGACCTCTGACTATCACCTGGTCCTGGCAGAGCGGCTGGAGGGATGTCAGATTTCTGTTTCATTGACATCATCCCTGATCTGGTGACATTACAGACTAAAGCTGCATGTGATGTTATCAGCTTAGTTGTTGCTAAGCTACACTCCAATGTGTCGGTGCTGTTATCTGGTGATTATGATGCCTCCAACAGTTTGCAAGCTGCTCCACAGAAGAAAGTGTTTCTACAACTTGCAAATCAAATCAAATTTTTCATATTTTGCTCTGAATTAAAGCTTTTGTTTCAAGATAAGCGGTTATTAAAAGAGAAAGAGGGATCATAACATCAGCACCAACTCCTCCAACAGATTGCTACTCTATTGGGCATTGAAAGCTGGAGACATTTCTGACCTCAGGCTCCACGGTGAGACTCAAATGGAGGCAGTGAGGTTTTTCATTTTTTTTTTATTCAGTTTGGTTCCTTACCGCTTGTTTTGTTTGTGTGACCGCGATTATGGAGAACGACTGGTGAAGATAGACCAGCTAAAAGAGCGAGGAGCGCGAGAACGCTGGGACCCTTTTTCCACCTGGATCCCTGCTCTTTTTTTCCTCATGTCCCTCCATGGTCGCACAAACTTTCGCCCACCTCCTCGGCCGTATCTAGACCCACAGCTAGTTAATGATTGTCGCTCTTGCATTGTGGCGTGGAATAACAGCGCAGACCACGCTTCAATACTGAGCATAAATCAAAAATATCTGCGACAAGCTCACTGCGACACACTGCTGCAGGAGGATAACCCGACCTTAAGCGTAACTGGTAGTTGGTTCCACAGGAGAGGAGCCTGATGGAAATGTTTACCTTGTGAGAAAAGGAAACTTCCACCTTTATTGGGTTGTTTTTCTGAACAGCTTTTGATTTTTCGTGTTGAAGATAACATCAAAGAATGATTTTAAAACATTTGGTTTAATGAAGGCCTGGTGTTGGTGAGGCTCGCAGGGTTTTAAGTGTTATACGTTTTGCGAACTCTTCATGTTTGTCTGTTTCACCCAACCGTAGGTGGTGACGGCCATCGTGGAGTCAGGGAAGAACATGTCGGCGGCGGAGAAGAAGACGGATCGCTGTCCACTCCTCTATGAATGGCACAAGAAGCAGTACATCGGCGCAGCCCACGGCCTCGCTGGCATCTATTACATGCTGATGCAGGTACGAAACGTCTCGAAGCGCAGCTGCTTTGAAGGCGGCGAGCAGGTGGTATACTTTAGAAAACTACTGCCATCTAGACTGTCCACAGAAATCATTTACAGCAACAATAAAGGCAGCACGTTTACCTGAACGTTTATTCAGCTCTTGACCGCTTAACCACATCACTAGCATCCAGGGGAATTTGGTCTCTCTGCTCGTCTCCATCCAGGAAGCATAATCCAGTAACATTTTCACGCTCACTATGCTACGAAGGCTGTACTTTGATTTTCATTCCTGGAAAGAAAAACCCCCCAAAAAACTTTTTTACATCGAGTAGAAAAGGATATCAGCTTTGGATTGACATCTAGTTTATTGAAAGTGTCTTAAAAATTAAACAAATAAACTTCAGGATCTAAATTCAAATTAAATAACTGTTTTGAATTCATTAAATATTCCATCAAACATATACATTTCCATATCAATAAAGGAAAATGTTTAATAAAATTTAAAGTAAAATTTACAAACACTTAAAATAATTTCTGATTTATTGTTTATTTATTTTAATTTAAAACCCTTTTTTTAAGACCATGAGATAAGAATAGCTTGAAATAAAAATGGATTTATAAAATAAAAGTCGCCAAAATATATAAAGTAGCTTTACAAAATAAAAGTCCATTTTGAAATTATAAAATAATTTTGAAATTCATAAACATGATTTTTGTTTAAATAAATAAATGGATCTAAATTCATATGTGGAAATATACATTTCCACATTAATAAAGGAAAATCTCTCCCAACAAATTTGAAAATAAAATTTATGCTGCTTATATAATACTTTCTCGTTTATCCATTTATTTATTTCAAGATTTATTTATTTTATTTTGTTCTGGACCATGAAATAATGGATTCATAAAATAAAAGTCGACAAAATATATAAAGGAGCTTTACAAAATAAAAGTCCCTTTTAAATAATAAATAAATAGGTCCTGAAATTGATAAATATATTTTAAAGAAATGAACAAATCTACAAGTATTTAAATAAATAAATGATAAAATAAGCTAATTTTGTTTGACCTCATAGCCCCATTAGCCTTTAAGATGTTACGTTTAGAAATGAATCAATAACAGGGTGCATTTATTTTTTTACCTCTAAACATTTTCAGCATTTCCAGCTGATCAATGAGCTGCTGCTCTTCTGTCCGCTCGGTACTCGGTTACCTTGGAGGGTTTTTCCCCAGTTGGTAGAAAGTAGCGCTCTGTCAGCGCAGGCTCAGTTCGGGGGGGGGCAGCAGTATGGGGGGTGACCTGTTGTTTGTTGCTGCATTCAGCCCGGAGCCATGGTCCCCCCCACCATGCTGGCAGAGCTGGTTCGGCCGAGCATCGACTACGTCCGCCACAGGAGGTTTCGATCGGGGAACTTCCCTTCGTCTTTGAGCAACGAGAGCGACCGTCTGGTTCATTGGTGTCACGGCGCTCCTGGAGTCATCCACATGCTCGTCATGGCCTACAAGGTGAGATGCATGTTTACTGGGAGCAGCAGTGTGTCTGTTCTCTAAACGTCTTCAGTTCACACTGAGATGAAAGCCTCTTTGACTAAAACACTTTCAGCCTCTGTGGGCCGTGCTCAGTGCTGCAGCTTTCTGCAGGCTACTTTCAATTCAGCTCAGTTTATTTCAATTTGCAACACGTCATCTCAAGGTGCTTTACATCCAGAATTCAATCAGATCATCCAGTCAGATTGATTTAAAGTTTCAGTCAAAGGAAAAGCAGTTGATTGCAGCCAGGCAGACGAGATCTGAGCCAGATCAGAAGGATGCAGAGAGCACATCCAACAAGGAACAGTCAGAGAAATAGGCCTACACTGAAAAAACAGGCCGATCTCCATCATCTATAAGCAAAGGTGTTGATGGCAGCAGCACAGCTGATATTTCTCTCCAGGATGGAGTCACAGCCAAACAGGAACAGACCAGATGAAGCTACTATGAGAAAAAGCAGAGAGAGCAGAACGTTAGAGATTGAACTAACAGATTCTGCAGAGTGGGAGAATAGAGATAGAATGATGCAGTATGGTGAAAAAGGGGTCCCTATGTCCTCCAGCAGTCTAAGCCTATAGCAGCATAACTATAGAGATAGCTCAGGATAACCTGATCTATCTCTAACTAAGAAGCTTTATCAAAAAGGAAAGTTTTAAGCCTAGCCTTAAAAGTAGACAGGGTGTCTGCCTCACGGACTAAAACTGGTAGTTGGTTCCACAGGAGAGGAGCCTGATAACTAAAAGATCTGCCTCCCATTCTACTTTTAGAAGTTCTAGGAACCACTAGTAAACCTGCAGATTGAGAGCGAAGTGCTTTCCTCTTTTCTGGCCCAGTAGGGAGCAGTTCTGCCATCCTCATGGCTTTGGCTAATGTCGAGTGTTTCCGATGGGGAAAAAGACTAACCTCTAAAGGTTCATATCTCCATAAAATAAGATTTTCTATAATCCTAGAATCCCTCATTGTAGTGTTCAGATGGACACAGAGATGTGGCGCCATCTGCTGGCAGTACCACACAACCTTCAAAAAGGAATCAGAACATTGAGAAAAAAGAAATCCGGTTGTAAACAAACGCAAACAGGCATCAGGTGAGAATTCTTCTCAATTTAATATAAAAAAGTCATAGGCTAAAAGGTTTTCATTGATTGAATTGATTAAAGAGATGAAGGAATGGTGGCATGGTGGTTAGGGCATTGCTAGGGCTGGGTATTGTTCAAAAATTTTCGGTTCCGGTACCAATACCGATACCTTCACTTCGATACCGGTTCCTGAACGATACTTTTTTCGATACCAGTTTTATAATATCAATTCGAAGAAAAAGAAAATTACCCAACATAAAATCTTGAGTTTTATTTTAAGCTCTGATTTTTCACTGTTACATTGTGAGGACCTTTTTACTTAGCAGTTTTCCTTTAGAAAAATTACCATGTCTGACAAACAAGCCCGTTGAATGGGATCGTACTAACAGCGCACCGCTGGTATGTGGGGGTCTGAGCGGCTCCCACAGAAATATTGGAAGGCAGGATAAACTGACTCCACTGATTAAGTTTTCAGGTGGATTTTCTCACTTAAAAACATAATAAAACTACTTTATTCCCACTGATCACAGCAAATATAGCTGCAAGGCACAGAAAGGATAGAGTAGCTCCGCCCAACGCGCGTCAGACACACTTTTGCACCGCGCAGCCAGAGCAGCAAAGCTTCTTCAGCCGCGCGTCAGAACTAACTGGTAGAAGCAGCAAAAAAGGAAGCAGCAGACGTGATTTTGCTGCTCCTGCTGCGTCCAGTTTGAAAGCAGCATGATTCACTCCGCTCTGGCTTTGCTCTGCCCACGGGCTGCTGAGAGGAGGATGGTCGCGCCGGCTGCGGTCCGCTCTTCTTGCAGTCAAACACCGAGCAACTTTCTGCTCTTAAATTGTTTCCGTGAACGATGTATTGCATTGCGCACTATTGGCATCAGTCTTAATAAAGTGAAGCCGCACTTTTGACCTGGGGGGCATTTTAAAGGGGTTCCACGACGCTCGCAACCAGTTTACAACAGAAACACATGAACCCTGGCTGTAGGCAGGACCACCTGTGTATTTTTCCTGGATGACGCAATCACATTAAGTGTTACAGCCAATCACCGAAACTTGATACCGAAAGACGAGGCATGTTTCTAAACTCTGTAGAACCGAAGCATTTCGGTCGGTACCATAAAAGAACTGAAGTTCGGTACCCAGCCCTAGACATTGTGCTTGGAATCCAGAGGTTCTGAGTTCAAGCCCCACTCCCACAGACTGCCACTCTGGGTCCCTTCACCCCACACTGCTCCCTAGGTCTCTAATCTATTCAGGAGACTATTTTTGCTCTGCTTCTCGTGTTTGCATCCATGTTCTGAGACTGCTGCTGTTTTGCCAACAAAGATGGGAAATATTACCCTCTGATTGGCTCAGGAACCAGGAAGTGAACGTGGGCGACACTGTGCAACAAAGTGTTTTTTTTTTATCCTTTAAAACAAAGTTTATTTTTGAGACTGCATCAGTAGGAAAATGTTGATCCAATTGGCTCTTTTTCATCAAAATATCAAACCTAAGCTTTTAAGCTGGGAAAATGTTATCAAGTATTCAAACCTCAGCCTGTTTTGCCAGATAATCCCTGGTCTATCATCTCCTCGTCTCAGTCAGTTTGTAAAGATCAGGAACGCACTGACAGTAACACCAGGGTCAGCCAGAGGAGACTGTTGCTCCTCTGCCTCAAAGTGCTTTTAGTCATAAAGCCTTTACAGTCACAGCAGCTGAGGAGAGGAGCTCTGTAGTTTACCGAACATTAATTCTGTATTTATATAAGTTTATTTTTTATGTTTGTATTTTTCATTGTAAAATTTTTACTGTTGTGTTTTTAGGTAGACAGTTGTCTCGGGACAGCAGATGAAAAATAGCCTTTGGGCTAATTCCGCTGCATTTGCAGGAATGCTTATTAATGTACTCTATTCCTGTTAAATGAATAAATAAATCTGTTCCTTAGAATATCCCACTGGATTGTTTTTGGAAAGACGATTCATATTTCTTTAGGTGTACCTGTTGGTGGAACGTGCCTGTGAGGAGGAGGCGCTTAGATCAAAGGACTGATTCTGTATTTCCGTTTTTGCTTTTCCTGGCAGGTGTTCAAAGAGGAGAAATACCTGAAGGAGGCAGCAGACTGCGCTGAGGTCATCTGGCAGCGGGGCTTACTAAGAAAAGGCTACGGTATTTGTCATGGCACCGCTGGCAACGGCTACGCCTTCCTGACGCTGTACAAGCTCACCCAGGAGAAGAAGTACCTGTATCGAGCGTGCAAGGTGAGGAAGCCGTCAGCAGCCGAGCCGCTCCATAGTGACCCTTTCTACCAGCTGTTGACCTCCGGTCTGTTCCTTCAGTTTGCCGAGTGGTGCTTGGACTATGGGACTCATGGATGTCGCATCCCGGACAGACCGTACTCTCTGTTTGAAGGTACAAACACCTCCACCTTATCTCCCCTTTGGAGAGTCCAAAAACCATCCTGCTTCAGTGGGGTTTAATATGGGAAACATGCAGCTAGCTAAATAGACTTTATACCAATACATATTTAATCATTAAAGAGTTTCAAAAATGACAGCAGGATACGTCATGCTGGTTGATAAATCATGAATTAGTGTTGACCTTTATGGTTTGATGGAAACAGCTTTTCATTTTTTGGCTGATCATTCTATTAATTCAGAGCGATCATTTCAGAAATGTTTGGATTTGGCCACATTAAGACTTTAGGCTTTTGTAATTTTATTCACACAGAATGTATACAAAACGAAACTTCGTTCAGTACAGCTCTCAAGACATTTCCATTATTAAAGGGCAGCAGGGATCAAATGTAAATATAAGACTGGTAAATGATTTACAGATTCCTACATTCAGCGTATTTTTTCTTTTTTTCTTTTTAAGGGTATTGCATTTTTCAAACTTTCCTGTTTTTTCAAATTGCATTTGACTTTTTATTGGTCTCCTGGACTTTATCAACAACACAGAGTTTGATTTGGTTTGAAGTGAATATGATCGGTGAAACTCTATTTAATACGAAACGCTGGTGAATATTCTCAGTCATCCAGGTCAAAGTTATTCCAAAAAACAATCCACTGGACTATGTTTCCAAGTTTGAAGACGTTGGAGAGTTCCAGGCTTTATACAGTAGTCCAACAAAGCCTTGTTTTCTTTAGAAAACATGGAAATATAAACGGATGAAAGGGTCCACCCTAAACCCTGCAGAAAATCAGGGTTTAGGTTGTGAATGTAGGTTTGTGATTGATGTCAGGCGAGCAGTGAAGACCCTGACCGCCCTCCACTGCGTTAAGCTTTTTTTATGTCAGTCAGAGCTCTATAGATGTTGCTCACTGTGTCAAACATAACGACAGGGAAACGGAGCAAAGGAACACTGCTGACACACGGTGCTTATTTAGTGCAGCGGCAGAGCTGGGCGTTTAAAACGGGTGGCAAGGTGTTATTTGGAGGGGTCAACATATAGAATTCACTGAGATTACAAACAATAAACATTTTCTGCTAAATGTACATTGATTAAAATAAAGCTGTTTATTTTCTAAAATGTATAAAATGATGTACTGTACCATGTATTATAAATAGAGTAAACAGCAATAATAGTAATAAACAAGTACTTAATGTGTTCATTGGGACTAATTAAATCCAGTAGTAAACAAAACTTGAGGTTAATTTGGACCTTTGAAAACAGGCAGAACAAGCAGCGGTGAACATTAAAATATGAACCACAAGAAGAAGAAGAATAGAACAACAGACCTTTAAAATGACTATAGTTGACCACTGGCCAGTAATATGACAACACCAGGTTCACAAAAACAATCAGAGCAGCTAAATCCTGCAGTTCTGGTGAGATGAAGCAAAATGTTTTACAAAGTCGTCCATATTTAGGGAATATGCCCTCCTGGACTCAGCACTGAGTTTTCCCAGGTGACTTCATCTATCATTGTTGACCTAAGGTGGGGTTTTGTTCATTTAAAGGCAGACACACTTATTTCACAGGATGCTAACTGGAATCACAGCCTCATTTTACTAAGTTCATGGAAAACCTCTTTGTAAGGTTCCAAAAACACAGCAAACTCCCCTCTTAAAAGAAGCTGTCTCATTTGCTCATGCTTCAGGTCTTCTAAGTCTGACTGGAATGTTTTCCCCAAAGCAAGCAGAGGCTTCTCTTTTTGGAACCGAGCCGTCAGCTCCGGGGCTGGTCCGAGAACACCGATGGACGGGGGCAGGGAGCCAGCGTTGGGTGTAGCTATCTGTGTTCAGAGCGTTTTGAGTCTGTGTTTTTTTCCTTTCTCGCTGCTCCTGTGTCCCTCATCTCCGTCTAACTTCATCGGGTCTGACGCTCTGAGAATCGGTGGCATTTCACTGCGTAGAGCGTAGCTAGGTGGAGGAGCAGAGACACACAGCGAATATTAACCAGCAGCTACTTTGATGTTAAAGTAAAAGTTAGGAGACGGTTAAAGAAATTGGAGACGCCACTGAATCCAAAATCTGTTTGTTAGACAAATGGAGCTTTTTCAGCTAAAATAGTGACAGATTGTAAGTTTAAACAAGTTAGTATTATAATGCAAGAAGCTTTAGGAAACAGTTTGTTCTTCTTTACTAGTTAACAAATCTGGGCTTCTCAGAGACCATGACTCCCAGTTCCAGGTTTAAATTAACATGTTTTCTTATTGTACAGATAGAATCAGACTGCAGAGCTTCTGCATATCTTGAAATTTAATTTCTGGCTTCATTATATTAGTAAGGAGGGTCATAAATCTTTTTTAAACTGAGCACAGAGAGAAGGAGCTGCAGATTTAAAGGTAAAACAGATTTATTAGGACATGTAATAAATATATTTCTATATCTAGTTTACAAGAGAAGAATATGCTATAATGCATATTTAAAATGCAGCATATCCAATTTTGTCTGGATGGAATTGATATTGTACTTCTTAGTATGCATGATATATCAGTTTTGGCTCTTATCAATTGTTTTTTTCATGCATTGATGTTGAAGGGTCCTATATTTGTAATGCACTAGAAGGCATCTAACATCTCTAAATAGAAATATCAGTGTGCTGTGGTCTTGCGTTCTCAGAAATAGGAAAGCATTCAATAAATGGATGTTTGAGCTCATATTTTGGAAAATTGGCCTAATGAAAGTTTAACTGTAGGTCCATGATTCGCCACCCGAGTGTCCCCACCAATGTTCATCACAAAGTTACACCCTTGCTGGGGTTCCCAGACCTGCCCTGGACCTTACGACTTGGTTCGAGTGCCCCGTAGTGTCATGAGCTTCTGAGGAGCGTAGTGCGCTTCAGAAGCAGCAGCTCATCAACCAATCAGAGAAGCTGATCTGGGAGCTTGCAGGGAGACAGACACAGCACTGCTGATGCAGAGTGCTATGATCACTCCTCTGAAACAGTTTATTAATGCCCATTTTAACTTAAAATGTAGAAAGGGGGCCGCTCAGACCCCTCTGACAATAATATTTGAAGGCAGGATCTGAATAAACTGACGGCACAGAGGATGTTTGTCACTTAAAAACATTAAAACTACTTTTTACCCCCTGATCACAGCAAATATAGCTGCCATTGCTGCAGGCACAGAAAGCATAGGGTAGCTCCGCCCACCGCGCAGCTGGAGTAGCGAAGAAGCTTTAGCTACACATCAGAACTAAACTTGAACAAGCATCAAAAATTAAGCAGCACGAGCGTTTTTGCTGCTCCTGCTGCTTTAGGTGTGAATGTAGCGTTAGTCCTCGACGCGGTTGACCTGGGATAGAACCCAGGTCGACCCCTTTCCTGTCAGCCTACTGTCCAAAAAACGAACCACTAGTGCCATAAAAACTCAATAAAGAAAAAAAGGCTCTCAATGCACCAATGTGCTGAATTAAACATACTAAGATGATTAATTCTAGTTATTTTCTGACTGTTGCTGAACATTTTGCTAACGACATGTTCTTTTAAGCCAGTGTGACGGTATTTGTCCGTTTCATGAGACCAGTAATACTAATAGGTAATACTCAGGTAATAACACAAGCATTGTGGTGCACTGTCTTTCTTACTTCCTGTAAAAACAGCACTTTGTTTGATTTAGTACCAATAAACGTGCATCGCAGCAAAGGAAATGCATTCTGTTTTGGAGCATGGAGCACGAAGGAGCTGCATGTCAGCTTAACCAATTAAAAGTGTAGCAGAAGCGTGCTGCCTGAGGATGCATTCAAGTCTGCTAGGAAATTTGACTGTTTTCTTTGCAAATGTTCGAAAAATTCAAGCTGTATTAATATTTTTAGCCGGGTGGCAACAGGGGTGACAAGAAGTTCTTGTGGGGTGGCAACTATCCCTCTTTAGCGCCTTTAGCAAACAGCTACTTGTAGATGTTACACGTATCCTTAGCTCAGCTTTTTTGAATTACATTCCTTATACATGAGAGTGAATCTTTGCTCTATCGCTCTGTGGCCTAACGAATCTGCTGTCTGACACAAAGAAGCTGAAATTAAACAATAGAACGGAAAGAAAAAGGAGAATTTTCAGTTGAAATGAATTCGGTTCAGTTTTAATTTCGTGAAATTCTATTTCCACACTGATTCAGTCAGAACAGTTCATATTTATTCACTGTTTTGTGTCCATAGCAGAGGTCCTAGAATCACTTTAAACCTACTGGCAGCTTGGGGGTCTTTTGTCCTCTAAAGATGGAAGCATTAAACTGTTGCTTTAATGGATTATTATCAAAGCGAGGAGTCAGCTGGGCTTCTTTTCTCTCCTCAGGAATGGCAGGAACCATCCACTACCTATCGGAGATGGCCAACCCTGAAGCAGCCAGCTTCCCTGCCTTTGAACTTTAACCCAGGAAGGAGGCTGAGGATCAGGAGGAGCTGAGACAGCAGACAAGACGGGATGCGGACATGTTTGTTGTTGCTGGATGTGTTTCTGACAGACCAAGGCTGGTTCCACTGCAGGATGAGTGTTGATAAAGAAGGACATTTTTTCCCATGGGGGCAGCAAAGTATTCCAGCAGCTTCAGGCTGAAGAAATCAGACCCTGAAGCCTCCTCCCTCGTTGGGATCCATTATCAGCTGATTGGGACAATATTTAGGACCCTCCACACCCTGAACTGCTGATGCTTAAGAACCTGACCGCCTCTGCATGTTTCCTGTCGTTTGCTTTTGGTGCCTGTCGTCTGTCTGATGTCTAAATGTGTTTTCTCTCTCCGTGTGTGTCGCATTCTGCGTAACTTGAATGATGGGAATAAGCTGATGGTTGGAAGTGAATCCTTTTTTCTGTGCATGCTGATATAATGCTGCCTGGTGCCCCCCGCAGCAGTGGGGTTTTCCCAGGAGTCGCCATGTGATGCTACCTACTAAACACTAAAAGGAAAAACTGTTCTGTTTGTTTTGGATTCCTATCAAGCAGAGGAGTTACAGTCTGTTAACACCTCGTCCCCCACAACTGGCAGCGCTTTACATCATATAATGCCAGGCATACACTGTGCCATACCAGTCAGACTGGGCGCCGAGAGATGGCAATCTGGCAGAAGAAATCGGCTTGTAGCTCCGCTTCAGCAGCAAGATTTGTCCACAAACACCTCAGGACGGCTGACTGGGTTTCAAATGTGTTTAATTTTCTCCCGACCTTATGATTCCTGATGGTGAGTTGGTCGTGAGAGGCTGATCCCCTCTTGTTACCCCCTGTATATTACACGACGCAGGACGCACCATGAGGCTGAAACTCGGCCCGATTGAAAAAATTCTCTCATCACTGGAAAATCGGCCCGGAAAAAAAACAAAAAATAATACAGTGCATGTCTGGCTGAAGGGGGTAAAGTGATGTTATAATACTGATGGGTTGATGAGGCATGCAGAGTTGATACTGTCTCACAGAATACTGACACCTGCTGGACATTTAAAGACACTACAGGCAGCTTATTGGACAGACTAAACTGAATTGACTTGATGGCCTTTTATGTAGGTTATATTGTATTATTCCACGTCTGTGTTTAAATTGAAAATCTATTTTATATCTTTAGATGCAGCCTATAAATAGTGTAAATATAATTTACGGGAAAATTAATAAGGATGATTGTTGACTAGGATTTAAAATCATATTTTTAAAACAATAACTACATTAAAAACAATAAATAAACTAAGAGTCAATTTAAAATGAACTTTAATTCAGATAACTTGATTGATAACAGAGGAAAAGTATGACACAATGAGAAAATTGAAATATAAACACAACACCTGAAACTATTCCATTGAGGCTGCTCCAAAATTGTTGATAATTTTAATGATAAACCTCAAAAGATTAGACATTTTTTTTAGCAGATGCATCATGTTGACAGATACGATTTTAAACAGTTTGAAACGAACCCATCACAACGTTATAAGATCACGGCTGATGGTTTTTAGAGAAACTAAAATGCCAGATTTTCTCCCCAGATACAAGCAAAGAAAGCCAAACATCTGGAGGGCAAAGTATGGTTCAATTCAGTTTATTTATAAAGCTCCTCACAAGGCACTTTGCAGACGATTCACTCTGATTAAAGCTTTTTTTAAGGAAATCCAGCTGATTTGCATCCAGACATTGTCTTTGCAGTATTCTCTCCTCCTGGATTTGCTAAACTTTCTTTTAAAGATGATTGAAAGCTATCTAACAGTCATCCTCAATGCAAATGATGTTGCCAGATGATTGTACCAATTAAATCACTGCACCATTGGAACAATATTACAAGAGAGCGGTGAGCAGGCAAGGGTTAAAAAGAGTGAGTACAACTTCTAGAATAAAGAATTTAAATCTTGCCATTATTGTTTTTCATGGTCTTTGTTGTGATTACTCAGTATTTCTTTTAATTAATCCATGTTGAAAAAGGAATGTGCACCTTTTAGTTTTACTTCCCTTGAGAAAGGCAAGTACTTTTTTTTTAAATCATTTTTGTTGATTTAAAAAAACATCAAAAAAGGTCATACAAACATTTCCTCAATAACGCTTCTACAGGTTGCTTTTGCTGACTGATGGAATCATTGGATTTTTCAACACAATGTGCACTGGAAGTTTGTGGTGACTTTATAACTTCTGTATTTCTTCAAAGTCTTGGAATGAGCTATTTATGTCACGGCTCAATATTCCAATATTCAGGCAAGACAGACAGCGGTGTTACTCAAAAAGCGTGTATTGAAATAAACTGCAGATCTGTAGTAGCAGCTGCTAGGGTGTCTGAGCCAGGAAACGCTGGAGAGAGAGGAAACACAGGTTAGTCACTTCCCTGATTTACAAGTTCAGTCCCTGCCCAGAGAACAAGGTAGGATTCAGCCGGACGGGTGGCAACAAGATGCGGTTTGCACCACCCAGATGCTGCAGCCCCGGAGAACGAAAAACAAGCAGGAGTCTGAAAACAGGTCAGGCAAACAGATCAGATCAGGAACAGGCAGGCTCTGAGGTTTAGAGGCAGAACAGGATCAGGTAATCAGAAACACTGAGGTTCGCTAAAAACACCACAGACTGGAGAGAAATAATCTGGACCTGATTACTGGTAGCAAGCAGTTTAAATACAGACAAGAGCAGGTGGATCAGATGAGCAGTACTGCAGAGTTAGACAGGTGAATGAAATAAATAATTAAGCCAGTCATCAGTGCCAAGATCTCTTTCTCAGGTGCTCTTTCTGATAAAAGGCTAAGTCTGGAATTCTAAAAAATAACATAATAAATTGAAAATGTCGTTTTTGTTCATGTTTGATTAGCAGAAAAGAGAATTATGTTTTAGGTTTATGTTAGGAAATATTGTATATTTTATATGTCCTTGTGTTCTTCATTTCTAATTTATATAATGCTTTTCCAGTTCCTGAGTATTGGTGGTATCGGAGTATTTGGAGAGATTTCAAATTCCTCAACATCAAGTTCAATGCTTTATAGGTTGTCCTCATGACTTGTAACCTTAACTTTGCTATCACTCTAAACCTCTGTTGCTTTGATTCATTAAAAAGTTGTGTTTACATGCTGTAACATTGTTGCCTTTTTTTTTTGCTACTGTTTAAATATGATTTTGTTTAATTTATATGGATCTTAATTAGATAGTATCTCCATGCCCTTTTAAACTACATTTTTGTGGTTGATCCTCTACAAGATTTAAATGAGGCTCAGGACTCCACAGAGGCTGGCTACAGATTTAAGTATTGTTTTTATTGTAGTGAACAGTTACACTATTTTTGAAAGCATAACAATACAAACCTTGAAAATGCAAAATTAAGTATTCATGATTCCCATAGACACTACTTCAAGATGTGCCGGAACAGACTAAAAAATATGGCAGGAGAAAGACTCAAAGGATCACGTTATCAAATAATACTTTATGCAAATGAAAGCTCTGTTTTGTTACTAATAATAATCCTAAATTATTTTGTTCTGTTAATTTTAAGAGGTGAGTTCTGCTCCTTCTGTGGAAATGAGCAACTGCTCCCTCCTGGCATTGCTGCCCTTTGGGTGAGGCTAAAATCTTTAGTAGAATAATCCCACCAATTAAATACTAATGCCATAACAACAATGCCATTTTATTCTCTACAAATGTATTTCTGTCCAAAGTTTTACACGTTTATCACCATGCTGTAGATACAGTGTGAAACTTGTGACACCCCTGGGTACTGTGTGTTCTGCACCATCTAGAGGATCTCAGGGTAACTGCTGCTGACTGTCACAGAGTAATTTTAGTGATGTGGAGGTTGCTGTTCTGTTGACCTCCTAGCAGGCAAGACAGAAAGGGATTTTCAACTTTATAGACATTTTTGTGCAGCTTTATGATAAACTTTAATATTGGGGTTTAATTATACACTGGGATTTAATTTTGCTTTAGTTTGTATGAACAAGCTGTTACTCATGCTACATTGGTTCATCTCAAGCTCTGAAACAATGCAAACAGTAGAGAAGAAGATAAATAGTCAATCAATCAATAAAGCCAATGCTATGTTTATTCAACATGTTACAGTTATCTATGTGTGCAGTGACTTTGGTATAACTACAATGACCCATATTGTACTTATTGGCCATTATATGATTATAATAACAATGGAGAAATCGTAAATATAGAGTAATGCTGATTTTCACAAAGTATGAGTTGTAGTATGATCCAGGTGAGGGAACTAGGTGTGCTACATGTTGGGTGGAACTACAGTGATTTATAGTGTAGCTATTGGCCATTATATGCTTATAATAACAATGGAGAAATCGCAGTCAGTCACTTCATTTGGATGCGATTAAACTGATTTCAGACAATAAAAATCTTAGGTTGGGTGTTGTTTTTGATCAGGACCTGTCATTTAAATCCCATATCAAAGAGGTTTCTAGAATTTCCTTCTTTCATCTGAGGAATATTGCAAAAATTAGAAATATCCTTTCCAGAGGTGATGCTGAGAAACTAGTCCATGCATTTGTTACTTCAAGGCTGGACTATTGTAATTCTTTACTATTAGGAAGTCCACAAACTGTAGTTAAAAGCCTTCAGCTGATCCAAAATGCTGCAGCCAGAGTTCTGATGAAAATGAAAAAAAGAGATCATATCTCTCCTATCCTGGCTTCTCTTCATTGGCTTCCTGTTAAATCCAGAATAGAATTTAAAATCCTCCTTCTCACATATAAAGCCTTAAATGGCCAAGCTCCATCTGATATCAGAGATCTGATTGTTCCTTATGTTCCTAGCAGAGCACTTCGCTCTCAATCTGCAGGTTTACTAGTGGTTCCTAGAATTTCTAAAAGTAGAATGGGAGGCAGATCTTTTAGTTCTCAGGCTCCTCTCCTGTGGAACCAACTACCAGTTTTAGTCCGTGAGGCAGACACCCTGTCTACTTTTAAGGCTAGGCTTAAAACTTTCCTTTTTGATAAAGCTTCTAGTTAGAGTGGCTCAGGTTATCCTGAGCTATCTCTATAGTTATGCTGCTATAGGCTTAGACTGCTGGAGGACATAGCGACCCCCATTTCATCATTCTGCTTCATTCTATCTCTATTCTCCCACTCTGCAGAATCTATTAGTTCAATCTCTAACGTTCTGCTCTCTCTGCTTTTTCTCATAGTAGCTTCATCTGGTCTGTTCCTGTTTGGCTGTGACTCCATCCTGGAGAGAAATATCAGCTGTGCTGCTGCCATCAACACCCTTGTTTCTAGATGTTGGATATCAGCCTGTTTTCCAGTGTAGTCCTGTTTCTCTGACTGTGACTAACTGGATGTGCTCTCTTCATCCTCTGACATGGGATCTGGCTCGGAGCTCGTCTGCCTGGCTGTGTGTTTCCTGGATGGAGCCGCCTTTTACAGCTGCTTTTTGTATCTCTACTTCTGTCTCCTTGAACCCCAGTCGGCCTCGGCAGATGGCCGCTCACACTGAGCCTGGTTCTGCTGGAGGTTTCTTCCTGTTCAAAGGGAGTTTTTCCTCTCCACTGTCGCTACAAGCATGCTTAGTGTGAGGGATTGCTGAAGATGCAATCAACTGGTTTTCCTTGGATAGAAAACTATGTATCAATCTGACTGGATGATCTGGTTGAACTGTAAAGTGCCTTGAGATGACGTGTTGTGAATTGGAGCTATAGAAATAAACTGAATTTAATTGAATGTAGCTACTCGCCATTATATGCTTATACTAACAATGGAAAAATCGCAAAAAATATCTATGCACATTTTTCCAAAGTAAGAGTTGTAGTATGATCCAGGTGAGATTATGTGTGCTACACATTTGAAGGCACTACAATGATCTATAGTTTAGCTATTGCTAATTTTATACATATCCTATGTATAATACAAAACGTGCAAGGGTAGGTATAACTTATCTAAATGATAAAACCTTATTATAATGAACACCTTTTATCCAAATCTATTTGATTTATAGTGCAAACATTTATTTTTAAAGGACTTCTTCCCTATCCTACATCTCACCAAAGGGACGTTTTGTTTTTTTTACATTTAGGCTTTGGGTAATTCCTCACAAATGTAATGCATTATTTTCCAATCCAATAAGGGTAGTATGAAAGATGTGAGATCAGATACACATTTTTTCCTAGTATTGGAACTTGCAGATGATCCCTAAGCATTTACTCTCATCATAGAGTCCAATGCAGTTCTCAGGCTCATTTTGAGGAAACTACGGTTGTAGCTCACTGTCTGCCTTGCTGCGGTCTGTGGGAATCTATGTGAACATCTGGGAATATCTGGGAATCCCTCTGAACATCTCTCTGAACATCTGGGAATATCTTTCTAACTTGACCAAAGTCAAAAACTACTCCTCCATACATTACTAATTATGAAAAACTCCAATTTACATGGTTTTAAATGTTTTTATAGGGAATTCAAAATAAGTCAATTTGCTTTGGACACAACAATTTTTCTAAGTGATAAAACTATGGTAGACATTGTGCTTAAATCTATTTTAAAGTGCAACTCCTTTGTCCAAAGCTGAAGGATTATCTAAATTAGTTATCCATGCCATTCTGCTTTTATTTCTGCAAAGAATATTAGGAAAGCCAATTCATTAATCTTTCAATTTATTTGGAGAATAAAACTTACTCTCTACGTTGATCACATCTGGTTAAAGATTATGATAAGGGTGGTATTAGAGCCTTAGATGCTGAGGCTCTGATTGGTTCATTTAGGATAAATTGGCTAAAGACCTTTTTGTCTCATTCCAATTCAATGTGGTTTCATATCTCCTAATCTATATTTAATACACTTGGTGGCTGGATTTCTTGCTTAAATGTGATTTTGAATTAAGGACAAGATTAACATTTCACTGTCTAATTTTCATAAAAAAGTTTCAATTTTGGAAGATGATATTTACTCCTAACTTCACCCCTCATGGATCCCTGGTGTGGAATAACAGAGCAATATTAATAAATAGGAAATCTATTTTTAAAACTGACTGCTATGAAGGAGTTATTTTATTTGTAACTGACTTAATGGACAGTCTAGGTGTTTTCCTAAATCATAGAGATTTTACTAACCAATTTAATCTGTTCTGTACTTGTAATGAATACCTAAAAGTATGTAAAGCTATTCCTGTAGCTCTGATCCATCTCATTTAAACACCTTAAAATATTCAAATGTTACTCCATATTTACCCAAATAGAAAATTGGAGAATATTTTGTGATTGATAAATAATTTAATAATACAATTGTTGTGATTGCCTTTAAATCTAAATTATTTAATAATTACTATAATAGTAATTAAGTGTCAGAATTTTTGCACAAAAGATTTAAATGTGATTTAACATGCTGTGCCTTTTGTGAATGTCCGGATGAATCCATTAATCATCTTTTTTTTCCTGTCTCTATTCTTTTAAACTATGGAGAGACATTAGAAATAGGTTGTCCCTTAAAATTGCGGACATCCCGAAATAACAATTACCCAGCTGTTGTATTATGATGCTGATCTTAATGGTAAAATGTCAGATATGATTAATATTGTCTTATTGTTTGTCAAATATAATATACATACATTGCTGTAAATGGTAAGGTTCCACTCCTTGTTTTGAATTTTTTTCTTAATTAATTTAAATTGTATTACACCAAAATGAAATATTTGAAATCTGTTTCTGCCAAAAAAGTAATTCCCACTAATTTTACTTTTTGTTGCTCTACCAATGTTTTAATGTTTGTTCCTCATTGAGTCTTTGTACATTATTGGTTTGTTATATAAATAAAGTTTTATAAAAATAATAAAAACTACTCCATACTGCAGCGCATCCTTTCTGCTCGTTAAAAACACCTCAAATAAAATGATTAAATCATTTCTATATTTATTGTGTCGACGCTCTTTTAACCCCAGTCGAGTTTCCGTTTGTTATTGTTTGATCCTTGAGGACCTTCCGCGCGCCCCGAGCGCGTGCACGCCCTCCGTCCATGTTGGTAGTGGGAGATGGCACGCGAGGGTTGGGAATAACGTTTTCCTATTGGCTGTAGGGATTCTACAGTCAGCTACATCAAGCTACCTATAGCATCTGCAACCGGAAGCGAATCCTTTCGAAATGAATAGAATAGAATAAGATAAAAAAAAAAAAAAAAGAAAAAAAAAAATAGAAGAGAAAAGAATAGAATAGAAAAAAGAAGAGGAAAAAATAGAATAGAAAAGAATATAACAAGAATAGAAAAAAGAATAGAATAAGAATGGAAAAAATAAAAGAAAATAGAAAAAAGAGAAAATAATAGAACAGAAAATCAAATAAAAGAATAAAAAAAGAAAATAATATAACAGAAAAGAAAAGAATAGAACAGAAAATCAAATAAAAGAATAAAAAAAGAAAATAATATAATAGAAAAGAATAGAATAGAATCCCGTTATTGTGTAAAGTGGTCACAAATATGGGCCTTAAAAAATGTAAAATAACAGAATAAATGGTAGAGTTAAAACACTAACCAAATAAAATACAGTGTTTTTACAGTATAAATATTGTGGACCTGGAAAGAATAAAAAATCAATATACAGCTGTGGACATTTTTACAGTAATGATATGTGAAAATAGCAGCAACACCAGAGATTTGGAAAAGTGACAGCAGCAGGGTATTTAAGTATTGAGGTTGTTAGGAACAGTGGTGGTTCTAAAGCCTTCCAGCTCCTGGGAGGAAGGATCTGTGATAACGCTCACTGGTACATTTAGGGTGCCGCAGTTTGTCACTGAAGGAGCCTTTTTTTGCTTTTTGTTAAAAGTTAGTTTTTTCTCTCCACTGTCGCTACAAGCATGCTTAGTGAGAGGGATTGCCTTTGAGTCAATGAGTCGATGCAATCAACTGGTTTTCCTTAGACGATAAACTTTGAATCAATCTGACTGGATGATCTGGTGAACTTTAAAGTGCCTTGAGATGACATGTATTGTGAATTAGCGCTATAGAAATAAAATTAATAGAATTGAAAATAGTAGGAAATGAGACAAACATGTCTGTAGTGCAGTTGATCAAATACACTGGTTGGTTCATTCAGTGAAGGAACAGTGAGCGGGGGGACTCTTATTCTGAAAGTGACCGGAAACTGCTCGCTGCGCTGCGTCCAGCTTCACAGGTGGTCCTCAGAGGAAAGGATGGGAGCCCAGCCTGAGGAAGCGCTGCTGTTTATGTTCCACCTTTAAACATGGAGCCTGGAGGACATTAGCTCACCTCCCCCTTCCTTCCTCCCTTCCTCCCTCCGTAGCCGTGGAGGATGATCCACCGCCAGGTGCTGCTGTCCCAGGTAAGCTGCCTCCATTGTTGCTGTAATGTTGATGCTGGCAGCCAGCGGCCCTGCGCTCCATCACTAGGATGCTGGGAATCCAGCCCACATCAGGGGGACCAGCTTCCGCTTTAACAGCGTTTAATACCGAGTCAGATCAACACCATATATGGGCTTCCTGTTGCCTCATCATTACCGCATCAGAAGGTGGCATTATATCCAGGCTAGGAGACGAGGGCTGATAGTAGGGACCTAGGAGAGGAAACACTGAGGCATCCTCAGTAGGGCTTAGGGATCAGGGCGTCATGTTGCCCTAGTTTCTCCTGCTGGACGAAAAGGGCTTCCCTTGGGGGGGTGTAGGGGGGTTCCCATCCAAATCCTCTTTATGCTTCAGTGTTTGGCTGCTATGATGGAAGGTTAGGACCAGGCTGGAGATTGATTTTGGAGAATTAAGTCATAAAACAGGGCAGCAAACTTCTCATCAAACCTTGGAGGGAGGTTTTGAAATAGTTTGGACAGGCAGCTAGGGTTGCCCACTCCATGGAAAACAAAAACAAATGGACACCTCATGTGCCAGCTGACCCGGTTGGCCCCCCTTTGTGTGTGAAATTATTCTATTAACTGTTTCACTCAAATCTGCATTGAATTACATGCATATTTGTGAATGACATGAAAATTCTATTCAATTCAGTTTATTTCTATAGCAACAATATACAACACATGTCATCTGAAGGCACTTTACAGTTCACCAGATCATCCAGCCAGATTGATACAAAGTTTTCTATCTAAGGAAAACCAGTTGATTGCATCGACTCATTGACTCTTCAGCAATCCCTCACACTAAGCATGCTTGTAGCGACAGTGGAGAGGAAAAACTCCCTTTCACAGGAAGAAACCTCCAGCAGAACCAGGCTCAGTGTGAGCGGCCATCTGCTGAGGCCGACTGGGGTTCAAGAAGGCAGAAGCAGACATAGAAAATGAAGCATAGATACAAAAGGCGGCCCCGTCCAGGAAACACACAGCCAAGCAGACGAGCTCTCAGCCAGCTCCCATGTCAGAGGATGAAGCGAGCACATCCAGTTAGTCAGAGTCAGAGAAACAGGACTACACTGCAAAACAAATTATTATCCAGCAATTGACTTTAATACACACTTTGCTGAATAAAATAAGTATCTTAAACCTAAGCCGGTCCTGCTTAACTTCAAACTGTAAAAATGAATATAAAACAATAAATAAATAGTGCAGATTTTTGGTGCAACAGCAAACTTGTGCAAACTTGTAACATATTTGTGCCTTAAATGAAATGACCGTAGGCTACAGCTGTAAAACAAAAATAAATCATGAACTCAATGCCCCATTATGTGGCTATAACCCTATTTGTTTTCCACTTGTTTTTCCTCTCAGCTCTTGCAGCAGTGAGGAGTTGTGTGTCTTTGAGCGCTGCAGAGTAAAACCGAGCAGGACAGTTCATGTCTGAGACTGACTATGAGCTCAGCTTTAATTCATTAAGTGGAACATTTGTTCTGCACATCAGCCTATTTGTTCTTCATTAAGGAGAAAATCTTCTCATCAAATACCAGTGGGAGATGCTGAGGATGCAGCAGCTTGATGATGGGAAGGTCAGCTGCCTGAAGAACCTCCATCCAGCTTTCTGCTGTTCCTTTGGACTGCCAGGATTCCCTTTAACCTGCTCCCCATCCTGCTCTGTTGTCTCCTGCTCTCTCCTCCATGAGCAACACTTTCCTTTTACACTAAATACGGAACGATTCTGTTTTTCAAGGGACGGTTGGCAACCCTACAGTCAACTTGTCAGGGTTAGATTGAAAGGCTCTGAGGACAGGAGCAGCTATAGGTTGGAGGTTTCCATGGGATTTAACTGGAACAAAATGTTGAATTTTTCAGCACAGTAAATGTTACTGAATAACAATAAGTGATCTGTAGTTATGTGGAACATTTTTCACACAATATACATTATTTTCTATATTCTGTTGATTTTAGCAAATTGAAGTAAAAAAGAATGGGCCCTACTAAAATATTTGCATCTTAAATATACTTTAAACTAGGAATTTCACAACTTTTTGTTTCCTGGACGGGGCCGCCTTTTACAGCTGCCTTTTCTGTCTTCTTCTGTCTCCTTGAACCACAGTCGGCCTCAGCAGATGGCCGCTCACACTGAGCCTGGTTCTGCTGGAGGTTCCTTCCTGTTAAAAGGGAGTTTTTCCTCTCCACTGTCGCTACAAGCATGCTTAGTGTGAGGGATGATTTAATAAGGTGATGCTATCAACTGGTTTTCCTTAGATAGTGAACTGTAAACTGCCTTAAAGCATGCTTAGTGTGAGGGATTGCTGATGAGTCAATAAGTCAATGCAATCAACTGGTTTTCCTTAGATAGAAAATTTTTTGAATCAATTGACAGGATGATCTGGTCAACTGTAAAGTACCTTCATGTGTTGGGAATTTGCGCTATAGAAATAAACTGAATTGAATTAATTATTATCTGCAGTTCAAGTAAAATAACCAATGGGGAACTAATAAGTTATTACTGGATTACTGACACTAATACAGGAACCAGTTAAATCAAATCCCATGCAAACTAACCTATATTTGGTAATAAGCTAAGGATTAAAAATCTCAAGTCATTATCAGCGACCTGAGTCCACTTTGACCTCCTGCCCAATTAGATGCTGCTGCTAAAAGATTTCCTTATTTATCAAACTGATGCTAAAGTCTAACTTCACATGATGCTCAACATTCCTCATGTTAGTGAAGAAACTGCTTCTTGGAAGATTTGTCATAAAATAAAACTTTTTTCTCATAATATTAGGACTTTATTTTTTTATTTTTCCACTTCATTCACGTAATTTTCCAACTTTTCACATAATTTTATGACTTTAGTCTCATAATATTATGACTTTATACTCATAATTTTAAGACTTTATACTCATAATTTTAAGACTTTATACTCATAATTTTACGACTTTATACCAATAATTTTTAGACTTTATACTCATAATTTTACGACTTTATACTCATAATTTTAATAATAATAATAATAATACATTTTATTTAAAAAGGCGCCTTTCTGGACACTCAAGGTCACCGTACAAAACATAAAAAGTGTCAGAAAAAATAAAAATTATAATTAAAAAACATTTAAAAACATTTAAAAATACAGAGGCTGTGACAGTGAAATTGATATTTTTAAAGAGAATAAGCAATCTTGAACAGATGGGTTTTGAGTTGTATTTTAAAATGGAGAATTGAGTCCGTATTTCGAAGTTGGGGTGGTAGAGAGTTCCAGAGGCGGGGGGCAGAGCGGCTGAATGCTCTGCTCCCCATGGTGGTGAGACGGGCGGAGGGGACAGACAGGTGCAAAGCAGATGAGGATCTAAGAGCACGGGAGGGGGTGGGAACATGCAGGAGGTCTGACAGATATGGGGGGGCAAGATGGTGAAGTGCCTTGAAAGTCATCATGATAATTTTATATTGAATGCGGAACTGTATGGGGAGCCAGTGGAGCTGTCGGAGGACAGGAGTGATGTGGTGGATAGAGGGAGTTCTTGTTATGATGCGAGCAGCTGAGTTCTGGACCAGTTGTAGTTTGTGGAGTGATTTCTGAGGAAGTCCAAAGAGGAGGGAGTTGCAGTAATCTAGTCGGGAGGTGACAAGGCTGTGCACAAGTATGGCAGTAGTGTGTGGGGTAAGGGAGGGACGGAGGCGGTTGATGTTTCTTAAGTGGAAGTAGGCAGACCGGGTAATGTTATTTATATGGGATTGGAAAGATAGTGTGCTATCGAGGATGACACCCAGACTCTTAACCTGGGGGGAGGGGGAGATGGAGGAGCTATCAATAGTGACTTGGAAACTGTCGGTTTTGGAAAGAGTTGATTTGGTACCAATGAGGAGAACCTCGGTTTTACTACTGTTTAATTGAAGGAAGTTGTTGGTGAACCAGGCCTTTAAGACTTTATACTCATAGTTTTACGACTTTATACTCATAATTTTACGACTTTATACTCGTAATTTTACGACTTTATACTCATAATTTTACGACTTTATACTTATAATTTTAAGACTTTATACTCATAGTTTTACGACTTTATACTCATAATTTTAAGACTTTATACTCATAGTTTTACGACTCTATACTCATAATTTTAAGACTTTATACTCATAGTTTTACGACTTTATACTCATAATTTTAAGACTTTATACTCATAGTTTTACGACTTTATACTCATAATTTTACGACTTTATACTCATAATTTTACGACTTTATACTCATAGTTTTACGACTTTATACTCATAATTTTACGACTTTATACTCATAGTTTTACGACTTTATACTCATAGTTTTACGACTTTATACTCATAATTTTACGACTTTATGCTCATAGTTTTACGACTTTATACTCATAATTTTAAGACTTTATACTCATAGTTTTACGACTTTATACTCATGATTTTAAGACTTTATACTCATAGTTTTACGACTTTATACTCATAATTTTAAGACTTTATACTCATAGTTTTACGACTTTATACTCATAATTTTAAGACTTTATACTCATAGTTTTACGACTTTATACTCATAATTTTACGACTTTATACTCATAATTTTACGACTTTATACTCATAGTTTTACGACTTTATACTCATAATTTTACGACTTTATGCTCATAGTTTTACGACTTTATACTCATAATTTTACGACTTTATACTCATAATTTTACGACTTTATACTCATAATTTTAAGACTTTATACTCATAATTTTACGACTTTATACTCATTATTTTACGACTTTATACTCATAATTTTAAGACTTTATACTCATAATTTTACGACTTTATACTCATAATTTTAAGACTTTATACTCATAATTTTAGGACTTTATACTCATAATTTTAAGACTTTATACTCATAATTTTAAGACTTTATGCTCATAATTTTACGACTTTATACTCATAATTTTACGACTTTATACTCATAATTTTAAGACTTTATACTCATAATTTTAAGA